ATGTCTGAGGGAATATGCCATCCCGAAAATTTTCCTCCACAAACTGGTCACACCATGTCTTGATGGAGCTGGCTTTGTACATAGGGGACAGTCATGGTGGAACTGGAAAGGACCTTCACCAAACTGTTACCACAAGGCTGGAAGAGTACAGTTTGCACCCATTTTTGAGGTCAGGTACTGATGTTTGATGAGACGACCTGGCACACCATCGGCTTTCCACTTCATCCCAAAGGTCAAACCATGTCCTCAAAGAGGTGGCTTTGTGCACCTGAACTCAATTCCTATGGAACACATATATTCCATACATATTCCATAAGGTGTTCTTATGTTCCACAGGTTTGCGTTTGGGGCTCTGGTGTAGAGGATCCTGAGTAGCTTCACAAACTGGACATACCATGTCTTCATGGAGCTGACTTTGCACACAGGGGACAGCCATGGTGGAACTAGAAAGGACCTTCACCAAAATGTTACCACAAGGATGGACGAGTACAGTGTGCACCCATTATTTGGGGTCAGGTACTGATGTTGGAAGAGAAGACCTGGCTCAGAATCAACGTTCCAATTCATCTCAAAGGTGTCCAGTAGGGTTGAGGTTGGGGATCTGTGAAGGACACTCAAGACCCTCCCCACCAAACTGGTCAAACCATGTCTTTATGGAGCTGGCTTTGTACACAGGGGTCAGTCATGGTGGCACAGAAAAGGGTCCTCACCAAACTTTTACCACAAGGCTGGAAGAGCACAATTGTCTACAATGTCTTTGTATGATGTATTATTAAGAGTTCCTTTCACCAGAGACACCTGAACCCCATAATTTGGAGAGCTGCCCACCTACATTTCATAATAAAGCAAAGGTTTTTGCCATTCTGATATAAATAGGTCCAATACGCTGAATACTTAACCACCAATTACATACAAATAATTGCAACCAGAAATACAAACAAGCCGTTCGGTTATGAGCAAGCTTTGATACAAAGTATATCAAACACAAATATCTATTCATCAATAAAAGTTGACTCTTCATTACCAGGCAGCCATCAAGAAAAGTGGGCTCCATTCAACCCAACCTTCTACACTACCAATTCACCAAACCACACCAGATCTTCCCGGCACAACCAACAAGCTGTGCCTATATACGGCTCAAACAATCATAATACGAAAAATCATAAAATGCAAATACGGACTGGAACGTCAGCTCACTTTACCTGAAATAATCAATTTTACAGAATATCTCCTTGTTTTTGATATAGCAGCTGTTGTGTTGTCTCAGAGACGTCCTGCACACCGAGCACTCCAGGCACCTCACATGCCAAATTAAGTTGTTTACCTGAAATATAAATTTAAAAAAAAGATATCAATAACGCAAATAACACAACAATAAAAAAAATCATCCTTATTAGATAACCTTTCCTATGTGTACATGATCACCGAGCGGAAGCTGCGTATGTTTCTTGGCTCAATTCACGAAGCTAAAACGCCAGGATAAGGATATTTATTTCTGAAAAAGTAACGGTTCCAATAAGATGGAAATGGAAAATAACCGTCAACTACAATCTCATGTTTAGTTTAAAGGAGAACTATGGGGTCAGGGCTTTTCCCCATAGTTCTCCTTAGGGTAACGGGAGGACACAAACTAGCATCCTCCCGTCACCCTAGGCTCAGTATATAGGGAGCTACAGCTCGCGGTATACTGAGACGCCGCAGCCGTAGTGGATCCCGACACTGATGTCGAGATCCGCCCAGCTGCGTGAGTGACAGCTGGCTCCGCCTATCTAGAGGCAGAGCCAGCTGTACCCGCCCCCTCCCCCGTCCGTTCCGCCAGTCAGCGCTGGCGGATCGGAG